AGTTAATCGTCGCAGGAGCGCGCATGTCCTCCAGCCTCGCACTGAGCGAGACTCGTAATGAGCAAATTATGCGACGATACAACGAACCGCAACTGTCACTCATAGTTTTCTCAAGGCGCGAGACGCGAATTACAGTCGCGCAACAAGGAGGATCCGCGTACAGCGCGGCACAATGGCACAGTCATCATCGCGTTCGTCCACGACGGGAAAGGAAGGGGGCAGGAGCCAAAGGGGTATTTGTCCACTGAGCAGGAAGTAATCTGTTTCAATGTGGCCACTCGGCCAATAAACAACGTTTACGTCGTACAGAGCGTACCTACTTACGGCTCACGGCTCACTTATCCGTGGGACTGGATCGACGATGAAACTCCTTTTTCGAATTGGGCACATCAAGTTAGGAGGACGCGCCGTTCGAATGCGAAAAAAATTTACTTTTTTTTTCTTTTGCATTAAGAATGATCTTAAGAGTGTCAACTGAACCTTTTGCACAATTGTACTGTATAGCATGTACATTTTCTGCCTCATTAAACTAGAAAAAGATACAAAGAAGCTTTTCATGTTATTTATTTTTTTAATTTTATCGTTTCTTCTTTGACGAAGATAACGTGACTTTCGCACGACGACTAATGCGCCAGTCATTTATTTTGCGAGCGGTATATAAATCAAACTTTGCGAATCTCTCGTCGAGATAGGTACACGAGAATCACTTATACCTGTATTGCATTTAAATGCATTTATATTGCAAAACTCGACGTGCGCCAATCTCGGAATAAACGGCGCGTATGACAATGCCGGCTCGTATCTCGTTACGTTCCTGGCGATCGAGGTGTTTCAACGTGTCACGCGACGACAGTAACATCGGGTTCGCTTTGCTGCCCGCCTACTTCGCACACGGGCCCATGCTCTAACAAGAAAATATGAAAGACGTTGATTGACGCCGGTAAAAATTCCCGATATCCAGCCGCGCCGTTACCGTAAAATTGGGTCTCGCGCGAGTCCCGTTGCACGTGATACAAGCAACGAGATATAAAATCGATCGCGATCTACCGCTCGATAAAAATCTGACAGAAAGGCCACGCAGCGGTTAAGTGCTCAAGGAATTCTATTGGAAGAATTCTATTTTTAGAAGAAGAGAAAGATTATTATAAATTATATGCGAATGTAGTGAATAAGTAACCCAGAGGTCATGCCGTATCTTCAATAGGAAGATCAATCATGACGACGTCATAACACTCCTCCGTTCTAACGAAAATTCTTCTCCAAGCGAATGAATGAAAGATCGCGGTTTTGCAGGCGTGACTTTGTTTTATCGAGACCGCAATTCTTATCTTTATCCCCCGTTCGATTTTGAAAGACTCCGGCTTCTTTTCCTCACGTGGCATAATTCACCCGTGTCGCGCCCGACGGCCTTGCGGTTGTCGTGTCTCGCCCGAGACGTTCGAGAAATAGCGATATCCCTTCGGCGGGTTTGAGTGCGCTAGGGTCCATACGCACGTAGGTTTTGCCGATACAAATAGACCGGCGCGGCGATCCGGTGGGATACGTGCCGTGTATCGGCTTATTAATTGGCATTCACGACCAGTGCCCTGCCCGCGCGCTCTCGTGTATCCCACTTAAATAATAATTACCTGCTCGAACTATCACGCAGTGCTGCGACGCGGGCGCCCACGTAGGCGCCGTTTATGCTTCGCTGCGAGTTCCGTCGTCGTCGCCGCCGCCGTTCTCGCGCAGCCGGTGCAAGGAAGGAAAAAGGTTTCGCACCGCGGAATATGGATCGGTATGCAGGATACTGCAAGATTTTCCGTATTCTTCTCGTGTCAATCGAAAACAGTCATCGTTAACTAAAATATCAGGCTGCCGATGATTTCGGTGTTCGGCGATTAAAAATTACGAGCTTTCTCAAGAATTAAGTTACAAGGATATGCGACTATATAGATTATATAAATTTAACCTTTACTTAAACTTAAATAAGCTTTTCCGATAATATCTTGGCTTATACATGACAACGTATATATGATTTTGATAATATATAATGTATATGTATATATTCAAAGTTGAATGCCAAATAGTCAACGATAAATCAAATTTCCGAAGTACCTCTTGGTGAAAGGAAGAGTGCGGGCCAACTCCGTATTGCAGGCGCGGTGCGGCAGATCGAGACTATTAAACCCAGCGGCTGAATAGGATTGATAGAAAGGTCCAATGAATGCCGCGGGACCGCAGTCCCCCGGAGCATCAAGCAGAATGCATGCAGCACGGACGACGTTTATACATGTGCAGTGTCGGGTCTATGGACGCGGTGGATTGCAAGTTGCGGCACGGCAATCATGAATAAACCGAGTTTATCGATTTGACAAAAGGTCTATGCAGAGTATCGAGCGTGCAATTATCGAGCAGTCTAATGAAGAAGTGTACGGGCATTTGTATTTGTACGCGATACATGCGTGCGAAAGCGGTGTCTCTTGAAGAACGTGCACTTCTCCAGCTTCTGGTGACGTTAGAAAGCGAGAAGTTTGTTTGAAAGCAAGCGAGTCGATTTTTATAGAAGAAACGAAAACTTGTCTTTTAAGGCAATTAAAATTAATGCTCAGCTTTTAATTAAATTATAAATGTAAATCTTGTAATTATACGCGATGTTTCAAAATTCTCGCATCCAGCAGAAATCTTCGGTTTTAACATCCTGTGATTGAAATCAAATTTTGATAGTCGCGATGATAATAATTCATCCTACTTTGAAGGCCTATCTTTTTTCGTTACGGAGCAGCGGAATTGCCATCGTGATCGCACGCTGCTTTCATTTATATGTATCGCGATGGTCACCGCCGCGGAGTGGAGAAAAAGAAAACGCGCAAGCCGCTACTTAAAGGGACATAGGAGAGTATCGAGTTATCTACTGGTTATCTGCGGCCACTTCGACCGCCGTCTGTACTTCCTGTTCGATCGTCGTAGTCGTGGTCGTCGGTCTCCTTGCCGAGAAGAGACAAGGCGGACGATCACGCGTGGACCATATCTCTGCGCGTTATTTACAAGCCGATGATAATTTATTTATCGAGCTTCTCGAGGCGACTGTCGATCGCTGTCTTCCGGCGGTTTTCTCACCATCAAGTTTGCCAATGCCGTTCGTTTGTGCGTACACGAGTTTTACTTCCGCTTTCGTCGCGGTAGATAAAAATCGCAGGGTACAAACCTATCATTTTGCCAATCGCGTTAGTTACAATGTTGAAGCATGATTGTACGTGATAACGTTGACATAATTTAAGCTTTGAAAAATTTTTGTGTAAACCAAGCTTTTCTAAATGCGACATTCTGTCGAATAATAATATAACGTATCGAAAATCTCACATATTCTCACTGACCATTACATCCACCCAAAATTTCTCGATTAGATCGAAAATCCTTGATAATATACGGTAAGGAATGTCCAACCTACTGATTATGTGTTGGAGGAGAACGGGTGCACCGAGCGATCTCGCTCGATCGCTCGATCTCCCGCGTACTCAGTGGCGAAGCGCCGCGCGGCCGTACGCACTCGCGCGTACGTATGCGTGAGTACACGTCGCATTGAAGTCAAGTGGGCTGCCGTGGAATGTCGTCCGAGGAGTTTTCGAGGGCTCCTCGAAGCCGCTGTCAAACCCAAGTACACGTTCGTGACTGCCACGAAGTGTCTCATATACGAGCGCCTCGAGATCGGCCGCGAGAAAGACGCGGCCGTAACGCTTTGCGGAATGAAACGCACGGCAAGTGACGCTTCTCTCTCAGAGGTTTTTTATCTCGAGATACCGGGCACCTCGTCACGTCACCTTTCGCAAGCGGTCGCATTCCTCGGAAGGTAGCCGCGCGCACGTTTGTTTCACGGGAAACCATCAGCTTTCCGATCGGCTCTCCGTAGGACGATATCCTCAGACCTCAACCGTCCTCTCATAAATCATTAATCTTGCAGTTCTCGCGTCAGTTATAACTTGACTCACGGGCGATTTTTCTCTCATTCGCATCTTTTTACGAAGGCTTTCATGATCTGTTCTCGCATGTGAGAAGCATTAAGTTATTATATCCTTAGATTTAAATCTATTAATATGTAATTTTCTATCTCTCGCAATTAATTGAATGTTAAAGACTAGACGAAGAGAATCATTTAATTAACTTTACTTTCAATCTAGCTGTTTTACGCTGACACCAATAAATCACCTATTTCTTCGATAAATGTTGAAATGTATCGCGACACACTTAACATGGAAAATTTTTCTTAAGTCGTATTAATACATATGAGAGGTGATGTGTGATATCGACAGCTTATAAACATTCATTTATAGACATGTAAAACACATGTTTATTAGCGGATAATTGGAGTAGCTGAGTAGCATAATCAACCACGTCGTTAAAGAATTCATGAATATCGGCATCGACGATCGCGCGGATATTTCGAAGAGAAAACGATAGGCAAGACTGCGTTCAGCGAGGTACTCTAAGTGGCTTATGGCGACCTCGTTGAACGTGATATCGCATAAAGGAAGCTATCGTCGTTACTCGTCTCCCGTCACTGTCACTCGTCACGGTTATTCTTCCTCGATTTAAAATTGAGATACGCGTTTTATATCGCGTTCTCGGTTGCGCAACTTTGAATGAAACATTCCTTTTTAATGAAATCCATCTAAGGTTGCGCGAACGTTGATTCTCCAGATCACGAAAACCTATTTATGATCTCAATAAAACTCATAATTCTCCGATATCTGTGCGTTCGAGAAGCTTCGGTTCCGATTTTTTCGAGAGATCTGAAATCAATTTATCTCATCGATCGTAGAATACTGAAGAGTGTTTGCTTTGAACGACATTACCGGCAAACAATGTCGCAGAAGCGACAAGTGGAGACAGTCGCTGCAACGACATGCGACAGTGGGCTTTAATGGGTTAATAGCGTCCGGCCTTTATGCAGGACACACGTTTAATGACGCGTGAAGAGCAGCACACGCCGACGAAAATGTAAATAAAGCGTGTCTTTTCAGGGATAATTTATACCGCTTGACGCTGACGTCGCTGACGGACCTGGAGCACGCCTCCTGGTCCGCGCCGGAGGACAAGGTCAACACGTGTCAGAATAAGGGACAGAGCGTCGAGGATTGTCGTAATTACGTCAAGGTGCTCCTCAGCAACGGCAAGAGCCTCTTCACCTGCGGCACTTACGCATTCAGCCCGTGGTGCGCGTGGCGAGAGGTACGTTCCCCGAAAAGTAGTCTGTCCGATCGGGACCAGGCGAGAGTCGGGGAATCTCGTTCACAATTAACGAGAGTTCCTAACGCCTGTTTTCCCCCGTTGCGATTCGTCGATGAACAGATTATCGTCGTCATTAGCCGTGTAACGCCCAATTTGGAACGGCTATGAGGTCACGCCCCCCGCTCGAACGCCGGCGATAGTTCTCTATACAGTGGCAATTATGATCACAGATCGAGAATATAACGAGCGTGACCAGCGAGATGTCGGGCGTGGCCATGTGCCCGTACTCGCCGCATGCGAACGTCACGGCACTTCTCTCGAGAGGTCCATCCGGCGGGCTCTTCGCCGGTGCACCCACCGATTTCTCCGGAGCCGATCCCGCGATCTACAGGACACTGGCCTCCCCGAACCTGAGGACGCGACAATACGACTCCAAGTATGTTCGCAGGAAGAGAGAGCACGAGTTGCTTCGTCCAGCTGATCAGTCCCGAAAAATGTCACTAATAGCGAATTCGGGCGCTTGCACTAGTGCACACTGAGTGCGCACTAAGGCTTGTTCTTAATCAATTGTTATAGTTACAGATCATCTTAAATTATAAAATGATTTTTACAGCATCCATATAGATTGTTTTATTGGCTAAAAAGTTTTTAAATGTGTATTTAAGCGACTTTAAATATAAGAATAGATTATAAACAAGCCTTAGTGCGCACTAGTGCAAGCGTTCGAATTCTCTATGACTTTACACTCAACTTGTTGCAGCCTGTTTTAATATTTCTCTCTTTCCATGAAATTCTTACGAAATTCTTTTTACAGTTATATCGAAAAACCAACAAGATTAATTTTATCGTAATAACCGCGTTGCAAGATTGTCGGTCTCACTTATCGCCTCGCGATATTTATCGCGCCCGGAGTCCCGTTCTCTCTAACTTCGCGTTGTCCTTTTAGGTGGCTGAACGACCCGCAGTTCGTCGGCAGCTTCGAGACGGAGGATCACGTGTACTTTCTATTTCGCGAATCCGCCGTGGAATACATCAACTGCGGCAAGGTAAGGATCGATGCCGCGGAGTAATTCGCCGTGACGCGCGCGCGAACGCGCGTCTTCCATCATACACGGAACACGGAGAGCGAGAAGAGCCATTCGCGCGATTAGCGATCTCGTCTCTTCTGACTTGCGTCAGACGTATAATTAGCCGTTTACGGTGTTGGTCGAAACGAGCGACGCGCGACGCTGATCTTCCTCTCTCACGCGGCAGAAAAATCATCATCCCCGACATGATCTTAGTTCGCGCGATGTTTATCATTTTCTCAACCTATCGCCGCACAAATTGCCGCCTAGGGATGGCTCTAATGAAACACTCTGCATCCGGTTGCGCGCGATCATACCTCGATCACGATCGAGCGCGAGGCTGAATTTGCCGTTTTAACGTGGTAGATTAATTCGCTCACGATGCCGTTCTGCAAACGTCAAAAGTCAACGAGTCAAGTATTGATGTTTCAAATGTCTCGTTGACTTTTGATTGTGCAATGAAGCGCGATATCGCATTGTCTTTTATACCATTAAAATGTGTACTCGCCAAAGTTTAATACATCATAATGTATGGCTGCAGAAAATATACTCGAGGATAGCGAGGGTCTGTAAAAACGACCGAGGTGGACAGATCATGTTGAAAGACGTATGGACGACTTTCAGTAAGGCTCGCTTGAATTGTTCGCTCCCCGGCGAGTTCCCATTCTATTATGATGAAATCCAAGGCGCTGCCTATCATCCGGAGGAGGGAATCATTTACGCGACGTTCACGACTCCCATGTGAGTATCGTTCAGTGGTCCGATTAATTCGAAGGCGTATTAATTATCGTCTGTGTTTATGTCTGTTCACAATCCCAGATGGACGCAAGAGACGGTAAATGACAAATTGATTATGCGATACGCGACGCAGATGTTACTTCGTTATTGGCTTAAATTGATTTACGCATACAATTCATTATTTATTATGAAAGAGAGATTTACAGCAATATTGATTAATCTTAATTAAGCAATTAAATATTTAAGAAAATTGAAAAATCGCAGTTTTATTTATATTTTATATGACTTCTTAGGTTTCCTGAATTAGCATATTTACGTAGAAATTTACATCATTGAGCCATTTATCTTTAATTATAGAGTTATGCACGATTGCTAATTCCTTCGTCTTAACGTTCTTTATCGCTCGATTACAACGGAATGCTTTTTCGGATGCGCGGAAGCTGCGATCTCTCGAAGAAGAAACCGGCATTAAATGGAATTCTTTTTTTCCTCCGTCACAGTAACGGCATTGCAGGCTCGGCTATCTGCGCGTTCAACATGTCCGCCGTCGCCGCCAGTTTTAACGGGCCTTTCAAGTATCAGGAAAACGCGGGTGCCGCCTGGGAAAGGAGACCGGTCGCCCATCATAATCGCCAACGCTGCGGTCCCCCGTCTAGCACCGCGCCGCATCAGATCATGGACAATCAGCGGTATCAGCTGATGGACGAGGCAGTGCAGAGCACGATGCTGGAGCCGCTGCATACCGCGACCCTTGAGCGATTCACCCACGTCGCGGTGGACGTTACCCCAACTAAGCTGCATCGCAGCGTGACCGTCCTTTACGTCGCCACGGCGACCGGACTGATCAAAAAGATTTCGGTCCTGCCTAGGACGCAGGAGACCTGCATCGTCGAAATTTGGGGACCCTTGCTCTCGTCGCCGTTGACGTTGCAGTTTCTCAAGGACACGCAGAGTCTCTACGTCGGCATGGAGATTGGTCTCTTACGGTAAGACACTTCTATCGTAGCCGTAAAATTTAGTCAATCTTGTGAACGACATTACATCGTAAATAAAAGTAAATTGGCAATATGATCTAATGGTAAATTATGTTGTTTCAAATAAATATGTCGCTCATAAATTACGTGCATTGTCGTAAGCAGCAAATGTTTGTACTAATTGCTTCGCTAAAACGCACCGTAATACCTTCCGTCGTTTAGCATACCTGCCGTTCAGTGTTATCGTCATCGGAGCCGTCAAGCGTGCTTGAACGCCCAGGAGCCGTATTGCGGGTGGAACGAACATCTCATGAAGTGCGCGCAGGCACCGAAGCAGAATTATCTGGCGAATCATTGGCATCAGGAGGTCACCAAGTGTCCGGTGCTTACCGATCCTGTTGACGGAGGCTGGAGCGCGTGGAGTCCTTGGTCGCCCTGCCAACACGGCACGGGAGAGCAATCGTCCGGACACGGTCACGCTCACTCGCACTCGCATAGCGAACACGAGGTTCGTGGGCATGTGTGCTTATTACGTTTATCTTATCGTTAAGGATATTTTCCTTCGCAAGTGGAAATCGATCGTGAACGACTGAACTTAACGCAATTAAATGTAATAGGTTTAGCGATAAGAGCATCTCTTTTACCGTAAAATAAATATAATAAAACTTTGAGAGTTTGGGTATTTTTTAAATAAACGAATAAGCTCTTTTTTTTATAAAGTTGTGTGATAAGTAACGCTGAATTCGTCTTACAGAAAGTCGATACGTGTCAGTGTCAAACCAGGGAATGCAATAATCCTCCACCGCAGCACGGTGGCGAGAGTTGCACGGGCACGCGTGTCAGAGTGACAAATTGCACGATTCACGGCGGTTGGACCGCTTGGTCAGCTTGGTCAGCTTGCTCTCAGACCTGCGGTTTCGCGATGAAAACCCGCCGGCGTTCCTGCACGAATCCGGCGCCTGCATTCGGCGGGCGCGTTTGCGTCGGTCATGATCACGATGATATCATGTGCATCGATCTGCCGCCCTGTCCTGCCCCCGCTAAAGCCACTCCGCCACCTCAGAATGGTCAATGGTCGACCTGGGGTCCCTGGCTCGCGTGTTCGCGACCGTGTAACGGCGGTGAGTACTCAACTACCCTTATAATCGTGATAACATAAACAACATTTATAAAAAGTTTAAACAACATCTGAAGAATATTTTCAATGAGACTTGCGATTTTAGACGCTTGTGATTTGCGACTTCAGATCTTTAGAGAAACACGGAAACAGTATTCCATGCTTTCTTAGTATAAAATTAGCGGTTTCTATTTTACAGGAATACGCATCAGAAAGAGAACCTGCGACAGTCCATCATCAAAGAAGGGCGGTGTCGAGTGTCCAGGATGCGATTTTCAGGCAAGTTTCATCTTCTGCGGGAAGATATCTTTTTTTATAGATCTTCCTTGATAGCCACATAGAAATTGAAAGAATGGCTTGTGATGAGACCGATTATATTTTAGACCGAGGAGTGTAACACTCACGAGTGCCCCGAGACGAGAAGGTACTCCGGATGGACCCCTTGGTTGGCCGTGAATGCTAGTATACAAAATGGCAACACGGTTTACCTGGAGAAGCGCTTCCGATTCAGTTGCCGCGCGCAGACGGATGATCCATCAAGCGTGCGAGTACAGCTCGCCAAGGAAGAGGAACGTACCTGCAGGAACGACGGCGGGAACGGCGGTTGTCAAAGAGCCGGGAAGGATGCGTACGTGGAGCCTATCAACGAGAATGGTTGGGGCGAATGGTCCTCTTGGGGCTTGTGCGACCGCCCTTGCGGAAGGGGTATTCAGCATAGGGTGAATATTTCTGGCAACATTATCTTGATACAATCTTGTCTAAAATGAAATTGTCTTGTTTTTACGAAGCATTTTGCAAATTGGATGTTCTCTCGTTGCTTGATTTAATATTTTATTTACTTAAAACTAAAATGAAACTAAAAAATAAAATTTATTTTATGCAATAAAGTATTACGATTGCAAAAGAATTGTTTACAGTTCTAAACCGTAAAATATAATTTAATTCAAAGCGATTCAAATATATAATGTATAACCAAAAGCTATATTTTTACAGGTGAGACAATGCGAGTCGCCACCTTGCGAGGGTCTCCCCACACAAAGTAGAGTCTGTAATTCACATCCATGTCGCGTGAATCTCGGCAGTGACAATACGGCAGAGGGTCAATGGTCTTGCTGGACGGAATGGTCCGAATGCTCGGTAACTTGCGGCGTCGGAGTGCGCACGAGGACGAGAGAATGCCTCGGTCCGGAGAGTTGCAGCGGCCCGAGATTGGTCAGGGAGTCCTGCGAGATGCCCAGTTGCGAATCGTTGGCCGGTTGGGACATGTGGTCGCACTGGACCCCCTGCGACAGTGATCATCAGCAGCATCGGAAGCGAACGTGTCTTCAGCATGGACCCGGCCTGTGTCAAGGGCCGACTCGCGAGACACGTGACTGCCTTCCAGACTGCATGGATAATGGTGAGTTGGAACCATTTTAAGTTATGTTATCTACAAGACAATATATTTATAAATATGATTTTTACATTTAAACAATTTAATTGTAAAGATTGACGGTTGAAGATTAACATTGCTGAACATTGCATACATTTTTTTAGACGTAAACGCTTTGCCTTCGAGTGTGGAGAGTTCGGGCGTCACGGTGGGCGCGATAGTGGGCAGCTGTGTGATCAGTTTTATTGTCGGCCTGGCCTTAACCGCGGTGTTGTGCTTCTGCTATTTAAAGCGACGCAAGCCGAGCATTCCAGGAAGTCCGCATTATATCAGCAAGCAGAATTCTTACGTCATCGTGCCGTTGAAGGAGGTAAGGTCTCGAAGAAGCGTGCTCAATTAACCGTATTGTCTTTGACATGAATATTTCAAGGAAGCTCATTCTTACACAGGTGAACGCGAAGCGACAGCCCAGTTTTTCAGGCAGCACCAACGGAAACGGTACTCTACGCGGCAAGAACAATCCCAACGTCAACGGCCTCGGCAGCCCCAAGTTGTATCCAAAGAGTCTCGATTACGAGTCCACCACTCTGAAGCGTAACAGTCACGGGCAGCAACACATCCGTGCCGATCTCGATCAGGACAAGTACTATTGAACGAGTTACCTGTGCGGACTCGCGTATCAGTGTCGTTTGGCTGGTGATCTGTATTCTGGTCTTTTCAAGCACGTGATTTTTCGTGTGATTTAATCGTACAGTGAGTCGTAGGTAACGTTGCCGAGCACGAACGCGAACTCATTCCACGCATTTGGCAGCTGCACGTAAATCTTGTTGATCGATTAGTGCTCGATTGATGTTAAAGTGACAAGTGTGAGGACAAACCTCCTGTTACAGGAAGAATGTATTTACTTAATTAAGCTAAGGCGTCATCTTTGACATACATACGATCGATCAAGCAAGCGCCTGTCTATAAGACTATACGTTTTTAGCATTAAGTAAGTGATGTACGCGCTCTCCGGCGCGTTTGAGAGTTAATGACACTGCGATTAACGATGCAAATTAGTCGAAATTATTCAGTATCGAGTGATAAAAATTCGGTATATATTTCGGAAGGGACATAACAATATTCTTTTTTCGTGCTGCCGTATCTTGATATATGAGATAATGGACATTTTGTGATGTATCGTTCATCATACGATGCGATAACTCAGCGGACCCCAAGGAGAAAACCGTTGTTTCGAGAAAGTTTATAAGAGTTTATTTTTGTTTCTATGTATATATCTGTGAAAAAGAGAGACAGAGAATGCGAACGGACGAAATCGAGAATCAATCCCGCTCACGCTTGGGCATTCAACTTTGACTCATCTGTATAAAGTTTCATGATTTCTCATGGGAATGCATTTTCATATATTTCATATATTTGTAGGATTTTATTCATGCAAGGAGAAGATAATAAGAGAGAACGACACCGCAACTCATGCTTGGGCTGCCGAGGATTGATGGATTGATTTAGATATATATATAAAAAGTTGTTGTACAAATACAAAATGTATTGTGTAGGTTTGCGTGAAGATATTTTGGGGAGATAGTTCGTCTCTTTTGTTTTTATTCAGGAGAAATATTGAATTTTATACTGAGTAACGTAGTGCCATGGATACGGAGTTGTACATAAGAATGCATCTTCTTAAACGTAGCTTTACGAATGAAAGGAATGCGTATATTATGTAAGAAATGAACACACGTCGCGCGACGATTGCGTTTATATTGGCTCACATTGAGTCGCGCTCGCGAATTACGTTTATGCATGCGACCGCTGATATAATTCATCTTTCTTCTTGCCGGATTCAAGGAGAGAATCAAATTTTTCATTTTAAACTTGAAAGAATCGCTTATTGTCTTCCAGAATGTAAGAGTTCAATCGCGTTAATCGCCTCCCGCGAGTTTATATAATAATCCGTCATGGAAAGAATGTGAGATAATATGTGAGGTAACGTAAGGTCGCGAAATTTATGATGTAACAACGTTTGATGTTGCTGCGAGCATCAGATAAATTATCATTTCAAGGTCACATGTATAGCCGAGTAATAAATACCGTACCCGATGCATTTATCCCGCGTACTTGTTTGTAATAAAGACAAGATTCTTTTTTTTTACGACTCCGTAAGTACTTCAAATACCAATCTTTGCGATAAAAACGAATCCTCAACGTCATACGTTTAAACCGAATAAGTAACATTTACTTCGCCAGTCAATAATTAACCCAATTAAGAATTTAATCGACTGTTACTGGCAATGATTGTAATCGTGGCAACGATTATAATTGTCGTGACAAATCGTCACCGCGTTTCGACCAAGGATCTAAAATTGATGTAATTCCAGGTTCGAACCCTGGCTGAAGTAATATTTTTTACAATAAAATTTAATTATTTAATTAAGATGCTTATATTATAAGCATCTAAAATTACATCAATTTTAGACCAGAATCCTTGGTAGAAACGCGGTGACGATTTGTCACGACGATTATAATTGTTGCCACGATTATAATCATTGCCAGTACAGTCGATTAAATTCTTAATTGGGTCACACATTTAGCTCATGCAGAAAATTGAGAGCTCTTTTCTACAAATCAGCCGCGAATTTTTCTATCTGACTGATAGCGTAATCCATAGACGATTTCGTGGGTGGCGGTTGGCAGTTTACGACCATGCGAAAGAAATTGACAAACTCCTTCTCCGGTAACGGCATGTAACTAATCAGGAGAGATCCGTCCAGAGTCATGCGTTTCTTTATCTGCGTTGTGATCTCGTGCAATTTCTTCCACCAAGCTGGAGTTTCTTTCTGATCGCGCATTGACGGTGGTATATACCTGAAAAGATTCGCCGCCATTACAACTAACTGCGATATTTCACGATAACGTGGAATTCCTTACCAAAAGCAGACAGTGCAACACTGATAGTGAGATTGCACCAATCGGAAGCCGACAGTCTCTTTAATTTGCTTCAGAAAATATTCCGCGCAGGACATCGCTTGTTCTACCGATTGCGCAAGGCCAATCTTGCCGCGGGCTTTCCACATTAACCAAAATTTCATTGCGTCAACCTTGATTTTATCAAACGTTGAAATTAATTATCAGTCAACGTGTTGTAACGAGATGTTTAAACAATATTTTAGCTTTTGTCTTTTCCAACGTGTCTTTTCTACAGGTTTCTTTAGGCGAATTTTAAACCTTTCTATAATTTACGAGTTACTATAAATAAAATGCTATATCACGTATCTTGTAAAGATTGTAGACTTATGTACCTTTCTGCCGCATTGCACGCTTTTATCGCCTGTGTCCCAGCTGACGTCGTAAAATTTGTCCTGTTGGAAAAGGTACTTGGCCTGGGCGCAATTCACTTCATACAACGCGTGTTTACCTTTGACCAGGAACAAAGAGCATTGCAACGGCGCACCGAGCATCTTGTGCGGATTCCAGGACACCGAGTCTGATCTATGTGTGTGTGTGAGAGGAGAGAGCCAGCCATAAAGAATCACAAAACAAAGAGAATCCGTCACAAAAATTGCCGGTCTGCACTAGGAAACCGAGTTTCCGGTATTCTTAGCGTCGCAGAAAGGAAAGTATTTATTTTCCCGTTCTTTCGGACCCGTAGATGTTATTTAACTAATGGATTCGATCGCCTCGAAATGAATGGCAATTATTCATGGACAATTACTCAAGGTAATAATGGGTGCAATAACTCGTCGACTTTGGAATTTTAGAAAAATCGCCACTTTCCTTTCACGACGACACGGTCACGACAAATAATTACGAACAATTCGATGCCTCGCAGCCTGTACCGGTACTTTTCCGAGAACAACAAGGTCCCACCGAGACAAGCCTGCAACGAATTTCTGATAAAATTACGTCGATTTCTCGAGCTAATCGGTTTTCAAAGATACAAACGTCTACGTGCAGCCATAGTCCCTCGTTTCGGCATATCGTAGCGATTTCCGGTAACGGATCGATAGCACCGATCACCGTGGTTCCGGCAGTGGCGTTTACGAAGAACGGTACATTTCCGTCACTCCTCGCCTTCGTTATAAGTCTCTTCAAGTCGTCCACTATCATGCGACCAAACCCGTCCGTTTTTACCTGTAACGGAAGGACGTACTCTCGTGCAATTGATTGCGATTATTAGCTTAAAGATCTGGTTAGAATTTACTGATGATTTCCAAAGCCAATATTGAAGAATCTTTTGTAATATTTACTAACAGCAAAATGAACATGAGAAATATTATATGTGAAAATAAGACAAAATTCTTGAAATCTAACTTAATATTATTTAATCAGTAATGTATAATTGCATAATGGTGAAATCTGGTGTTTATAAAAAATGCAATAACTGTCATTATTATTATAAATTGGAATGTGATTGGAATAATTACTGAACTTCTTCGCGTTTTGATGTCGACCCTCTTGAAAGGATTGAAATGTAGTGTATGTCTTATCGCTATTTTCACGTTTTCATACCTTATAAACTTGGTCGATGCCAAAGCCCAACCAGTTGGCAGCTTTCAGGATTGAATAGTGTCCTTGTTCGCTGGTAAAACACACCAGAGGTGATGTCAACGAAGACAGCCCTGACTTTTTTACATCCGGTATTTTCTTGTGCCTGGCACACATCATCCCGTACATATTCGATATGCTACCACCTGGGCACATTATACCGTCGGCGTCTGGCATCGACGGATAGCCGACGAGCTCCAATGATTTCACTATCACTTCTCGCTCTATCAGAGTAAATACGGGCGCGACTTCGTAGGTATACCTAACAGAAACATCCGCAATCGCAATTAGCAGTTAGCTCCTTGTATTTCACTTCAGTTAAACGCGCACAGCATCATTTATAACTGTCAAGAGCATTTCTGAAGTCATTATCGAACAGAAGTTATCTAACTTCTCGTTTTTTAACTGAATCAAAACTTCCTTGACGATTTATATATATTATGATAAAGACTTCAATACATCGTTAATTGAAATTCTTGTAGGTCGTACATCGTGAGACGCAAACTGGGTTATAGCAATGTTGTCTAGTGCTCACAAGAGCGATAACAAAATGGCTTTGATTACTCATCGCGTATCGTCAAGAGAGGCGGACAGCATTGCATCCCCCGGAGAATAGCACGGAGAATACATTGTCCAATATTTTAAATCGTCTGGAATTTTTAGAAACTGTTCTTACTGGCCGGTGTTCAACACTTCCGTCAACCAAGCGCCAATTAATCCGTACTCGTCAACTCCAGCAAAGAGTTGATTGTGAAAATTCGGGCTGGACGTTTTCACGGAGTACCGTATAGTCTGTCGTATCGCAGTTTCTATTTCGTTGCTAGTCGCCGGGTTGTCGTCCAAAGAGAATGACATCTTTTTCTACAAAGATAACATCAAATAAGAAAGAAATTATCATAAACATTAAATAAAAAGGTAATTATTCCCTATTAAAATTAACGCTGTTTTAGAATAATTCACTTCAAAATTCAGAATAGAATTGCTATCGGCGGTTATTCATTTGTATTCATTAGTATAAAACAAAATTCTATTTTAAAATTTGATGTGAATTGTGTAGAGATCGTTTAAAACTCGTTTTAATAAGCTTCAGTATCGTAATTTCTATGACCACAGATGGTCTTTGCATATTCACTTCAAGCAACCAGATAATTTAATGTCTATATCATTCAAAATAATTATTATTTTTGAATATCCAGACTATTAAGATTATCTGAATTTTCCATATTCCGCATTGCTTCCAACTACAAAAGGACTTCCTGAAAAAATAATATGTTATCGCGGCATGTCAAAGTTCCTCGAAGAAAATGACAAATCGTCTGGCGAATATTCCGATTACGCGTTTAACGCTGCAACTATTGACCCTATATTTATATCGCAACTTCTGCGTATTAAATTAGTAAATATTCCACGAACAAGTGTTCCACTTGTACACTACGGAATATTTTCTCCCACCAGAATCCATTATTGCCTACGTGCACTACATCGGAGATCGTTGAAGTATTCAAATTAGACATACAAATGAAACAAATGTAATAAATGTACTATAATATTCTTAATCTTATATAATAAATTTTATATATAATTATACCGGATACCTTTTTGTGTTTTTGTTCGAGAGCGAAAAGAGGAATGTAATTTAAAAAAGGAATGTTTAAAAAAGAAATATTTCTAAAGCAAATAAAAGAGATTAAGAAATAAGAAGTAAAATAAATCATAGAATTTTCTTTTTCCTAACTATACAACAATTTCAATGGTACTGTTAGAGCAACGAAAATATTATCGAGCTCGTTAAATGTTAGCATACTATGTTGAAATCTGTTCAATATTCAAAATGTCAATAAGACTATTTTGCTAAAGAAGATTAAACACTAGATCTAAATATTTGTCATATTATTATTAATTTTATACATTGTTTAATATCAGTTTTAATAATTCTTAATTCACTTAAGGCACATCTATTTAAAGTAAGTAAATTAAACTGTATAAACAAATTCTCATATTACTTCGTTATTCGAAGTATAAATAATATTATTGACTTTCAATTGAGATGTTACACAGGAGTTAAATTGTACAATCTAACGTACATAAAACTGACTTTATTCAGTAATTTGACATAAAACTTGACGCTTGGTTAACAGACTTGGTATTTGCCATCGATACAAATCCTCGGTTCTACGATTTTATTATATCATCTTTAATTTCTTACGTAACTTATATTCATTTATTTAATTAACATTGTTTGTCTTCGACTAAAGAACACTTTGTGTAGTTCGGAACGTCCCAACGTAGTATGTATTATTGAGATGGAAATAAACTTTTAAATTTAACATCCACACACACTGTTTGCTCGATTGGCCTTTGTTTTCCCTTTGATAATATTATTAATTTTTATTTAATTGCAAGAAAAAATAAAAATATAATGTAATATAAAACATATGGCATTACGGCCGAAGTAAATTGAGAAATGAAATAATTATAAAAAAGACTTCGTGTAATAGCAAGTTAATATATTCGAGATTATTGTATGACAGCTGGCACAGAAAATTTAATTATTACTTTATACCTGTAAATCTGCAGGGTAATGGAATTGTACGACAGGTTGATCGTCAGATTGGTCGAACGCATGCTCTTCTTTTAGTATCTTCAGGATCTTCTCCAATAGATCGATGATGCCGTTAGTACCTGATGCAGCCATCGCGAAGAGTACACTGACCGACCAACCGACAAATCCATCGGTTGGGTCCGCTTGTTGGGAGTCCCTTCCATTTCGACTTACACCACTAGCGAAACGCTTTTTATCGTGGTCGTTGAGAACACGTCATACATACATAAACCGTGAACCTCGACGATCCCATCGTGCGGCTGCGGATTATTCATGCCAATTACGCATAAAGTTCATCTCTCCGTTAAGCTCGAATTAATGCTTGCACTTTGCCTTTCCGCAAATAAAAAAAAACAACGAAATTACTAACGTACTCTAGATATCAATACTGTAGATATTTAGAACAGTTTAGCGCGATTAAGATAATGAATGTATTGTAAATTTAAATGTGTCAATATTGAACAAAAGTCTTGTACTATTTGCAACTTCTAATTGCAATCTTATTCAATTGAATCGTATTTTCTATTAAAGCCATAGAAAATTGCAGGGAAAAATTCATTTCTTAGAGAAAAGTTATGTAATTAATACATTATTTTTTTCTTTTCTAATCTGGCATGTAATGATAAATTCTATTTAAGCACAATCTTAAATACTCTGTTATTCTATACAGTTTAAAAATGCAGAAAAAACTGCAGATCCTTTGGAAAATAATGGACAAAAACACGTTCTTGAAGTAAAAGATTGTTACAATTTTGAAAATTGTAGTTTTATTGAATATTTCTCTTTCCTGCCATATTTTACGTTATAATTATAAATATTGTAAGTTGCATTATATCACACAGACACAATATGCGCAATTGTAAAGAAACGTGGAGATATCTCTTTCTCATGATAACGGAAAGAAAACAAAGCATAATCAATACTGAAGTTATAAAAAGATATTGCATTTTACGACGCGTGCTATTATTAACAAAAAGTATTCTTATCTAATATTCCACGGACGTTGCGCAATATTGCATGAATTACATTGCACCTTCTGTGAAAAACTATTTTATCTTAACAAGATTTAGATAAGAATTTATTTTTGTTTCTATATGTTTATATCTCTAAAGCAAAGAAATAGATATAATACAACTATACTCCGTCCAACGAGAGATCACGGTTGATCAAACATAAATAACGATAGGGCACAGAACAGCAACAAGGTGTTCGCGTTAAATTATTTTTATTTTTAATAAATATTGTCCAACACTATTAAAAATAAAAATAATTTAACGCGAACACCTTTTTGCGGCTCTGTGCCCTATCGTTATTTATGTTTGATCAACCGTGATCTCTCGTTGGACGGAGTATAGATCATATCGGCAATTAATTCCATCCATACTAATATGTACAAAGTTTTATGATTTTTAACAAATTTTCATGTATATCTAGAAATTATATGTGAAACATTGTTATTAAGCTCATAAACGAGTAATTATTGCACTCGTATGCATTTATCCGCGTTTCTACTGACAAGGAAAGGGTCCGAAGTGTCCCCCTTGATAAGCTTTTAACATATTGTTTTCTAAACAAAAATAAGAGATACGTATACTTTTATACATGCCTAATTTGTATGTTTAGGCTGTTTAAAGGATAAAACACCTCTTTGAAAAAAAATCGAATTTTCTCTTTCTGAATAAATATCTCTGAAACGATAAAAGATAGACAAA